GGTATAATCCAAAGATAATCCAACCTGAAAACTTTGCGTGGCAAAATTTTTTTAATCAGCTCTTGTGGAAAAAGAAAAACAAAAGTTCTGTCCTTTTTTCATAAGGTTCCCATAATGTCTGTGGGTAACTCCCTTTGAGGCAAAACTTTAAATCCATTGGACKACGGGGTCTGTAATCCACTGGAAGCAAAAGTAATCCACCAAGGAAAAGTATAATCCACAAGGAAAAAATATATTCCACAAGGGTAATACACTGCGATTGTTGTGGCTGACCCAGAGTCAACCAATTTCTGGAACAGCATAGCGAAGTGAAGTACTGGAACCCCCCTTTCGAGAGTCGATCTCTAGAAGGTTGCAGGTTAACAGGGGATCTCTGCATCGAAGATGGAGACGGGATCTCTGGGTCGACGATGGAGACCACCACAGGAGCGAAGAGACCATTGGAACAGCGTGAAGATGGGTACGCCCAGAAGGATGCAGGTCGAGAGCATCGACACTTGTAGAGCCTTGGCAGAGGAGGTCCAAGACAGTTTCCTTGATAATTTCACTCAAGTAGACCCCTACAGTAATAATTCTTTTGAGTCTTTCTCATCCAAAATGGAAATCAGAAAAAGCTCTACTACCAGCTGTTATTTATCRTCGTTTTATCAGAATTCTCACATTTTCTGACTGATTTATTATTAAATACTGATAAAATTATAATAATGGGATATTTTAATAATCATGTTGATAATGAAAGTGATAGTTTAAATATAGCTTTTAGTAATTTAATTGAGTCAATTGGTTTTACTCAAAATGTCCACAGACCTACTCACTCCCTTCATCACACTCTTGATCTGGTTCTGATATATGGTGTAGAGATCGAGAACTTAACAATACATCCTCACAATCCTGTTCTCTCAGACCATTTTTTAATAACCTTTGAGTTTACATCAGCTAACTTTATGGCTACTGAGAGTAAATTTCATTATAGTAGATGTTTATCAGAGAATGCTGTAGCTAAATTTAAAGAATCTCTTCCATCTTTATTTTCTACGTCCTACGTTCTTTAAAACAGGCATCTAGAAAACTGGAGAGAAAATGGCGCTCGACTAAYGTTGAAGAATTTTGTTTAACCTGGAGAGACAGCCTKCTAACATATAAGAAAGCCCTTTCGTAAAGCTAGTGTCGTATATTTGTGTACTGGCMCTTTAAGACCGGAGCGCGCATGAAGGCGGGGACACGCTTCTTTTGTTCAGAGAGCTTCAGTAACATCGAGCTGTGTGGACGCGCTTTCATGTGTCTCTCGCTGAATAAACATGTCCAGAACTGAAGAAATAGCCTCTTCGTCATTCAAATGTTAGACTAGAGCTTTATTGACATTCGACCCAGGAGCCAGCAGACAGCATCAGCCGAGAGGAACAAGCAGCAGCCAGCCGAACCNATGTCGTATATTTGTGTACTGGCCCTTTAAGACCGGAGCGCGCATGAAGGCGGGGACACGCTTCTTTTGTTCAGAGAGCTTCAATAACATCGAGCTGTGTGGACGCGCTTTCATGTGTCTCTCGCTGAATAAACATGTCCAGAACTGAAGAAATAGCCTCTTCGTCATTCAAATGTTAGACTAGAGCTTTATTGACATTCGACCCAGGAGCCAGCAGACAGCATCAGCCGAGAGGAACAAGCAGCAGCCAGCCGAACCAGCCGGCCCAGCCCCAAAGGCAGCAGMAGACGGGAGGATCTGAGCCACCGACAGCAGAGAAGCAGAGAAACAGAGAGAAGGGTCCAGCAGCTGACGAAGCCCAGCTGAACCGAGCAGAAACGGAACCAGAGACCAGGCAGAGACACTACACTAGAACTGTATTCAGCCAACAAAAATGGCTCAGTTCCACCAGTTCTATCAGGAGGAATGGGTCAAAATTCCCGCCAACCATTGTGAGAAGCTTGTGGAAGGATATCCAAAAATTTTTACCCAAGTCATACAGTAGCCTGATTCATAAGACAGTTCAGTCCAGGACAGATGCGTGTTCTGTCCTCCTCCGAGCATTCAGAAGAAACAGGGAGATGGAAGRACGAGTAAAATGAGCCCGCCTCTGATGCCCCCCTGAGCTGTGAGCAGAGGCAGTATCAGAGTTGGGACCGAGCCCGGCAGACCCACTTCTGAAAAATCAACCCACGGTTCCCCACTCAGAAAATGAGCTCATGACATCAGTGAGCGACCCTAGGATCTAACCGACAAGCAGATTTATTATAGAGGGAATATTAAAAAGCAGAGATGTGATCCTAAGGTCACCAAAAAGGATCCCCTCAACACCTCGGCTGTGCCTAGAAATTCTGTTCATAAAAGTCATGAACAGAATCGGCGACAAAGGACAACATTGCCAGAGTCTGCTTGGATGATGTGGTTCTATTGGCTTCATCAGATCCTGATCTCCAGCTCTCACTGGAGCGGTTCACAGCTGAGTGTGAAGCAGCCGGGATGAGGATCAGTGCCTCCAAGTCCAAGACCATGGTCTTGATCTGGAAAAGGGTAGGGTGCCTTCTCCGGGTCGGGGAGGAGGTCCTGCCCCAAGTGGAGGAGTTTAAGTATGTCAGGGTCTTGTTCATGAATGAGGGAAGAATGGAGCAGGAGATCAACAGGTGGATTGGTGCTGTGTCTGCAGTGATGTGGGCGTTGTACCRGTCTGTCGTGGTGAAGAGAGAGCTGAGCCAGAAGGTGAAGCTCTCAGTTTACCAGTCGGTCTACGTTCCTACCCTCATCTATGGTCAGGAGCTTTGGGTAATGACCGAAAGAAGGAGATCACAGATCCAAGGAGCTGAAATGAGTTTCCTCTGCAGGGTGTCTGGGCTCTCCCTTAGAGATAGGCTGAGAAGCTCAGTCATCCAGGAGGGACTCAGAGTAGAGCAGAGAAGAGGGACTATGTTTCTCAGCTGGTCTGAGAACATCTTGGGATTCCCCCAGAGGAGCTGGTCCAAGTGGCTGGMGAGAGGGAAGTCTGGGTCTCTCTGCTTAAACTGCTGACCCCGGATAAGAGGAAGAAAACTGATGGATGGATGGAATACTAAAATGAAATGAAACAGCAACTGTGTAGCTAGTTAAAAATATTTATCAATAAAATCAGTAAAATGTGTGTGGTGTGTGCGCGTTTGATCCAAGGAAGACATCAGTGCAGCTGGAGATGTGTTACAGAGGGAATATAAAAAGACACAGAAAAGCAGCTGTGTAGTTTAGCAATATTTACCATCACAAAATGACTAAAGTAAGTAAATTCAGTTTGTTTCGTTTGATACAAGGCAACAGACGTCTGTCATACAGGTGGTCCACTTCAGCCCAGATCTGCTCCACGCCTCTTTTGGTTCCTGCTGCTGGGTTCATTTCTGAACGTGTACATGTGAACAGGACCTGGCTGGCTTCACCTGTGATTTTAAGAATGACCCGAGGGGAAATAAAGTCGGTCCGGTCTGTGCGGTGATTTCACTGATTTCACTTATGAAAGAGGCTAGTGTGAGAGCAATGGGCCTCATGCAAGAACCTTTGTATTCTTCTCCTAAATTTCTCTTACTTTTGTTCATTTGAAGGGTTCGTACCAAAATGTCACGTCAGATTCAACAAACTCTTCTATCTTCAGGAAAACTGTGTAAATGAACTGCGTAAACATGATGAATGTGTATCAGCTGCTCGTGCACGAGGAGAGGAGATTAGAATAATTACCACCCTAAAAACACCATATAAGGATATGTTTCCTGCCCCACATATCAGGAAATGTTTGTTCAAAAATGACATCACAAAGTAAAAAGAAGAACTTTACGAGTTCAGAGATTGAAGTCCTGCTCTCAGAGATCCAGAAAAGACAATCTGTCATTTTTASCAGCATCAGCTGTGGAATTAAAGGAGCTGCTGAAGCTGAGGAATGATATGATCTGTTAATGTTGTGTCTCCTGTGGGTCGTATACAGACACACAAATAACTATCTAAATCATTTATCTCTCTGTAGTCCTGCTCTGGTTTTTCTTTTGTCAAATATTTTTAATTTAAGTGTAAACAACTGTGTTAGCCTTTTTCATTTATTCAGAATAAGAGCAGTCGCGCACCGCTACCCCCCCCC